CCACAATAGCAGAAATATGAAAGTTTTCACTACAAGGCAAGGCAGGCAGCCTTGATGTCTGAGAACAGTGATTTGTTTACCTCTTCATCATTAAACCTTGCCCAGAAACGTGCAGTGGCTTTCTCAAAAGGATCTTCAGGTAACAAGGGATGTTGCTTCCATGTTTCTTCAATATATTCAAGAATTACAAGTGATTCTAAGATTGGCTTTCCATTGTGCAGGAGTACTGGGACCTTTTTGTGAACAGGGTTGTATTGGAGGAGAAGAGAGCTCTTGTTTTGAAGATCCTCAAGTATGGTTTCATATTCTATACCCTTCAGCTTCAGTGCCCAGACAATCCTCAATGGAAATGGACTTGACCAGGTCCTGAAGAGCTTCACTTCTTCTGCCATGACTGGTAAACTGTGATCAACTCGAGGTTGAGAATTTCCACCCTCAACTTAGTAGTTTATAGATTGGATAATGTTATGGTATCAAAATTTACTTTTTAGAACTGTTACCGACAAACGAATCTGAACCTTAGATCTTTATTGATGTTATTTAGAGCCATTGAGCATGAAAATTGTAGAATAAAGTGAAATAAAAAAAAAATGATATAGAAAAATCACTTTCACTATCATTTTCTAACACACATATCAGACATTTTTGTGGTATATTATACTAAAAGCAGGCCAACAAATAATGCTCTGATTGGAAGACAAATTTGACAAATATGTTACTCTTTGTAGTCTTTGGACAGCTGTTTTAGTCTCCCATGGCGGCTGCTTTTGTAATAAGTTTTGGAGTAAGAGCTACTTTTAATTTAATTTATTATGGCTTTTGAAATTAGGCGTTGATCCAATGGTTCTGTTGAAATCACATTAAATTAGCAAATTAGGTCAAATTTTTATATCCAAATAATATTACTCTAAGATTGGTGTTGTCGGATTCATATCCATTTCAAAGAGTTGACTACGGTACCAAGAACTATACATCTATTTATTACATTTGTGGGTATTTTTATCATTGTTATGGTACCCAAAAAATAATAAAAAGTAATTATCACAACATTGATAAAAAATCTAAAAATATAGTAAAAATGTCCATAAATATGGTAAATTATCCATAAAAGTGATAATTTTTTATATTAAAAAAAAAGTAATAAAAATAGTTACCACAAATGTGATAAAAAAACCCACTAAATTTTTAGGCCATAAAATGACCCAAAAATATTATAAAAATACAATTGAAGTAATAAAAGTTAGAGGTACGGTAATCGAAAATTTTTTTTGGTACCATAGTCAAGTCCCCATTTCAATGCTCTGATTTTTTTTTCGAAAAAATATAAATCACTCATGATGTATTGGTGGAAGAAGTTATTCATATACGATGAGTTCTACTTCAATTAAAAAAAAGTAACTTAGTAATAAGATTGAAGTTTAATTTTTTTTTCTTTTTATTTTACATACTCTTAGCTCATTAATTGAAACTATTTTTTTTTTTGAGAATTTTAAGCTACCTTATATTACTGAGGCATATCCTCGAGAATAAAAAAACTGGGGCATACTCATTTCATGAATGCAACGTCAACAAATTTGCTCATGATCAAGTAACAACTTAAGATCTATGATCAAATTACCTTCTATGAACAAGTAAATCTATTAATTATATGGCCATTGCCACAAGAGTGTCTAAAAAAAAAACAAACCCCAGAAAGGTGTCACAATGATTGAAGCATTGGAAATAGGTTTAATTTAGCATTATCTGTTAAATGTGAAGACAGTGGGTCTAGTCTAAATCTTTGCACAATGATAAAATTGTTTTATTGTAACTTGAATGTCATTGTTTTGAATTGGATAAACAATGTTTTCATATGCAACAATAAAATTGTATATATATGACTTTCCTCAACTTATGTGGCTGGATTAATACCGCCAATGGTAACCTTTTTTTTTAAAAAATATTTTGAGAAAGTGGGCTAGTTTGCTTTTTTTTTTTCTTTTCTCCATGAGGGAGGTTCCCCCCCCCCCCCCACAAGAAACATAGCTGATCCATTTATTACAGCTCTTATAGATTCTAATCTACAATTAGTTGATCTAAAATAATTTGGACAAGTTTTTGTTGAATTATTGGGTTGGAGAGTTCATAATTAGATTATTAATCGTACACATTAATATAAATTCCTATGCAACAGAAACTTAAAAATAACACGGTTAATTAACACGATTAATAAAATTTTTTTAGATTAGTGTTAAAAACAAGCCACACTTTTAATTGGTATTGCGGGAAGAGTATATAAGAAATATCATATATAAATTATTGATTTTAAAAATAAATGGATTAAACACAATATAAATTAAAAATAATAAGGTCAATCCAAAAATAAAAAAGAAATTATTGTGCTTTGTGATAGCACGACTTAATCCGTATTTTTATTCATGCTATTTAAAATTATGATATATTTTTTTTAATTACTCTTTGAACTATGTAATTTGTTTCAATTGATATCATCCGTTAAGATTAATTGTTAAATAAGATAGATTAACTGTTGATATTAACGGAATTTGTCTCATTTGACGATTAATCTTAACAAAATCTATCTTATTTATCGTTTAATCTCAATAAAGGTGTCGATTAAAATAAATTACACATTACATAGAATAAATTGGAGAAATTAAAAATCCAGCCCGGAATGTGTCAATGGTCACTCTTCAAATTCAAAAAAGAAAAAGGAAAAAGGAGGAAATTGCAGCAATCCCTCTGTTTGGTTCCTGAAGCAACAGAGGAAAATTATTGGATGACTTATTTTTGTTTTCTTGAACATTTTCTCAGCAGCCAAACGGTGCAGTCGACTGATGTGGGTAGTAGAAATTGAACTGAGAAGAATGTGGCGAGGTTTTGAATGTGATGATTCATGAGGATCACTAGGTACTTGATGATATGCCGAGTAGAGAAGAGATATTGTTTCTTGGACTGCAATGTTATGTGGGTATGCAAAATGCTGAAGGTTAGAAGAGGCAAGAACTTTGTTTGATAGGATAAAATGAAGAGAATGGATGTTGGTGGTTCTGTTCAGAATGGATGTTGGAAGATGCTTTTGAATTGTTCATGAAGATGCCATGACGGGTTATAATGTCATGGAGTTTGGTATTGTAGGGATATGTTCAACAAGATGATAAATTCAACAAGATTTTTTGCTTGAACAGGATAAAATGCAGGAAGATGGAACATATGGTTGCTGGATATCGAAAGCTAGTTTTGAATGTCCATATGTTGTGAAGTGTATTTGTGATACTAGTATGATCTCAGTATGTGGTGTGCTTTTACATGATTGGAGAAGAGCAGTGCACCTCTGTCTGATCAAGATTTGTTAGAATATCTTAAAAGATGCTGCTGCTGCTGTGTTTGAAAGGGTTAAAAATCGTGATATAGAGGCATGGAATCCCATGATTGTGGCACAAATATGACATGGTTCTGGTATACAAGTCCTCAGTCTCACCTTCTATGATTACTTGTTTAGGTCTCTTGACTAACTGTGCTCATTTGGCAATAATCGATGAGAACTAGAAAAACGTTCAATTCAGTTCAGAAGAACTGGAATTGGTTTCAAAAACCTTAGCATTATGTCTGCTTAGTTGATCTCCTTGGTAGATCAGAATTGCTGGCTGCTGGGAAACATTACCTGGTTCATGTAGAGTCGACAAAAATTTTGAGACATGTGAATTTGTTGCAAAAAAGCTTCCGAGTATTCAACCTCCAATGTTGGGATGTATGCACTTCTATCACCTATATATACTACGAGAGTTGCGTAGAAGGATGCAACAAATGTTAGAGCAGTATTGAAGCAACATCAATTGAAAGAGTTGGCATGTAGTTGGATTGAGATGGATTGTAAGATCTATCATTAACTGTATAATGTCAAATCTTATCTCCTAACAGAGTCTCTATTCAAACAATATTAGTCTTTACCTAATCCTTGATGAACTTGGCTTGATGACACATTGATGAGGTGATATTCATCTAAATGTATAGTTTTATGTCACTTGTTTGTAGAAGTTGATGATGCACAAATCGGTATTGCGCAAGATCAACAGTCAAGAATATAAACAAAGGCAATCAACGAGCAATAAAAAAATAATTAATGGTAAAGCAGTAGATAAAGTGCTAACACAGATATTTACAGTGGTTCGGTCTGAGTGACCTATTCCACTTTCGTAAACGACAGCGGTGACCTGAGTCTTTTATTAATAGGTGAAATCGCCGGAGAGAGTATTCTCCAGGAGTATTTGTGTTTGAGAGGGAGAGAGGAGTGTGTATAAGAGGAGATGTAGAGGTTTTGGAGGCATGCCCTCAATATTGAGAGGACGTATGTTATATTGTTAGGGTAAGACAGTGAGACGGTGACGTGAGGAAGGGAGTTTTTACTATTTTGGTAAGTACAATTTTAGTAGGATTAGATCTCCATTCCGACATTCTCTCCTTTGTGCTCCTATTCAATCGGAGGAAGATCTTCCCTCGGTTTATTTTTATTGGGTTTGGCCAAGTCAGATTCGGGCTCATCAGAAATCGTACTCGAAGGATTGTATGAACTTGCATGGAGAAGTTTGCTTTCATGTTTGCGTTGCTAGAAGCTTACATGCAATTGATTACTACAGATTTGTATAAACATGGTCAATTAACATTAAAAGAAAAAAGAAAGAATTTCTATACATTAGATGGATCATTCTTTGGTCTTTGTCCAATGTCAAATGAATGTCTTTTTCAGTAATTACATGTAGCTTCATCATCCTCATTCATCATGACCATCTGTGTTTGTCTCAGCAAGTAATATTTCTCAATCCATTTCCCAAATTTCTCTGGCATTTTCCCTCGAGTCCATTGGAAATCGGCTTTCATTCCCATTCCCTCTGATGAACATGCTTATATATATCCAAGGCGTTTTAGAAAAATTCATCACCATCAACGTATAATGTATAGGGAAATCGATTCCAGAAAAAATTGATATCCTTTTTTGGAGATTGTCAAGATGAAACTTTTAAGTTTAATGGCATCTCACATTCCCTTGAGGATGTAACCGATGAATCTCCTCCTCCTCCTCCTCCATGTCCATAGCCTCGACTTTCCTCCTCTTCCACCACCACTGCCGCGTCGTTAGGCGAATTCAACGTGGCATTGCTCGTTGTGGCTGTGTTGGTCATGGTGGTTGCCCTCTGCATTCCATGGTTGCCACGCCGTGAAATCTGGCGGTCCTCGACGCGGCTGCCACGGAAACAAACTTTCATGCACGTGTAGATGTAGGTTAGGAACCAGAACAACCATGGGGAGCCTATTAGGATCAATGCAGCAATGGGAAACCAAGGTTGGGAAAATTGTGGTGTAAAAACGTAGAGCATAAGGAAGACTCCACCAGTAACTACAAATAGGCAGAATAGGGAAGATATAAGAGGGACTCTAACATCTCTTCCCCTTTCGTCTTCCATTTATTGTTCTTACAAGGCCTGCACTTCTCTCTCTCTCTCCCTCTCCCTCTCCATAGAGTTGAGTTGCAGGTAACCAACAATAAGATGGACAGAAAACAAAAGAGCGTGAGAAGCGGAGGTAGTTTGCACATAAAAATGACATGACAATGAAGCATTGAAAGTAAATATGGTATTTTAGGGAGAAAACTGATCTAACACATTTTAGGGTCCGGATTCTCTGTTATACAACTGGAGATGTTGTTCTTAAAATGATGTTGTTTTTACACACAAAACGATGTCGTTTCATGTGTAAAACAACGTTATTTTGAAGAACACCTCTGTTGTGCCCTACATTATATGGCTAGCAAGATGGGTTTGGCCATAGTTTTCTCATGTGGCAAAATGTGTTGGCATTTGGCATCCAACATTTTTGGTCTTTCACCTAGAGAAGCAATAAAAATATTTTTATTTTTATGTACTCGGATATTGTTTTTATGGTTCGAAATTGTAACGCGCTCAGATTAATATAGAGTCATCTTAGTTTGATGAAGAATATGATTTTTTTTTATATATAAAAATTGGCTTGGTTAAAAGTATTGCTAGTAATGCCGGTACAATTCACCTCTATATGTCTAACTATATCGTTTTGGATAATATACAGTTATAAACCTTTTTGACAAATGATAGAATTTCGAGTAATTTGAGGGAGGGATGATATACACTATGCTTTGTGCCCTATCTCACATTTTTCTCTCTTCAAAATATCGGATACGAGTACAAAATTAACTTTATTAAAAAAAAGGATAAGATTATCTATCTTTTATCTCTGTTAAAATTTTAAAGTTGACAAAAGTCTTATGCATTGGATATGATTCTATTTCTAATTAGAAGTATAGGCATATGATGACTTTTTCAGAAACAAAGAGGACCCAAAATCTTTCATTGAAAGAATTGAGGGAACAAGACATCAAAATAAGGTTGCAAAGGCAGTGTCCCAGGTTGCTATAGCAGCATCCCAATTTAATGATTTGGGATGGCATAACTTCAATTTCTCATAATTGTAGATGACCAAAATAAGGGGGTAAAGTCTTACCAACATTTTTTTTTTGGTATTGGTAAAAGTTACAATTTTATAAGGAAAAATTACAACTACTCAAGAGAAGACTATGATTGATTACAGACAACCATGATCAATTATGAACTCTCGGCATCGATCTCAACTTTTTATGATCGATCATGTCCTTTAAAATTATAATTGACACCTCAAAAAGGTTATAATTTAACTTTAAAAAATTATAATTTTCGATCGTAACCATTCTTAAGTAAAAGACTTATTTTAACATAATAAGTCCTGTTTGAATTCATGGCGGCTGCTAAATTTGAGAAAATTGAAAACAATGTTGTATGGATATGAATCCCTATCTAATTATGTTGCCAAAAAAAAAGTGCAAAAATAAGAAAAACAAAGGTAAATCAAAGTCATTTTCATCACTCTTGCACATATCTAGCTCCTTGGCTCCAATACTTAAAATTTACGTATATATAAAATTATTATACATGTAAAATAAGATTAGAGAAAGAGAATAAGTCCAGATAGTGAAAAACAAAAAACAAAAAAATAAAAATAAACGCCACTTCAACAAACTGGTGGGAAACTCATAGTGCTATTGAAAGAATATATCTCTCTGAAATGAAAGAATTATTTAACTTTTATAAAGAAAAAAATTCATCCTTAAAGGATAATAAGATTAAGGTTAAACTTATATTAAATTTCTCATTAGAGTTCTTTGTACCTTGGGTTTCGATATGTGTTGGGATTTAACACGATTTAAATCCACTAACAAACACACACAATCGAAAAACAAATCAAGAATATAAAACAATAAGAAACAAGAAAGAACGAGACACAGATTTTACGTGGTTCGATAATTTGCTTACGTCCACGAAACTGCAGGGATTTCACTATTGAGAGAGTTGAATATAGAGAGCGGCTGTACAATCCACGATTAACCCTAATCACCAAAACAACAGGATTTATATGTCCTACGCACTGGGCTGTATAACGGGCCAAGCCTTCGCTCCATGGACTAAGTCTCATAAAATTTTCCATTAAAAAATCACACAATATTACTTCGGGTCGGGTCATCATCCGGATCACATATACAAACTAGACTCCATAAAAAAAAACCAACAATATGGACTCTAAGCAACCATGCATGCAATCCTACATATATAAGCCATCCCCACCACTGTTCCCAAGCCCCATTTCTATAGCATGAACAGAATGAATAAATCACATATTACATGGACATGTATCTCCATACAGTGTACTTAATGCTTTATTCAATATTAGTGTCAAATAACTATGTCACAAATTGGAGTTGCTAGCTTGCAATATATCATCAGCTATCTTGTGTACAATATGGAGGGACCCCATGTGGAAGGAAACAATGCTTCTACTCAATCCCCTTACCTGACTTCTGGAACAGCACAATTGCAAGGGTCACAAGGGATGCATAAACTGAATTGGGTAACTTTTGCACCACCTTCCCAACGCCTGGGACACCCTCTGTCGTCTTCTTTGTGAGTAGAGCAACTGTTGGTGCTACAGCCAAAGTAACAATCAATCCATGACTAACATGAATGAATGTATCGGTTGTTAACTGTTGAATAAACTTCACAAATTCTTCACGATCCAGTTCTCCATCAAGGTTGAGATCACAATCCTGCATAGAGATAACACATTGTACTATCTGTTATCTGAAAGTTGAGACCTATATAAATACAGCCCACTTGATGCTGAAGCTGAATTTTGCGCCATTAAGATTTTGCAGAGTTGATCCTTTCAATTGACACAGACAAGGTACGCCCCCTAGAACTTTCGCAGCCCTCCTTTTTCACATATTATCACCAGGCCAGGTTTCATCTAATCTACCAGGAAACTTCTATTTTGGCACAGCTAGTATGAAACCAAATGTCAGCGGCAATGGACCATTTCAAGGTTATTTTACCATCTTTTGCTAAAGATCCCTGCATTTTTAAACCTTCCCAGGTCATTCCAGGATCTAGAACCAAAAGCATAATGCCAAAGATTAACCACAAGGCCTGCCGAGAAACTTGAGGGCCACTCAGTATCCTAACATCCTAATGTCATTGCACGGAGCCAGCAAAAATACCAATATGGGGTGTCTTACAATTCACATTGATAGGAAGAAACTTTTCAATAGAAAGGGAAGCTTAAAGACTTCTCATCTTAAGAGAAATACAGGCACCACCAACAGATTGCAAAAGTAACACAGTACTTCAATCTCACCATGACTGAATCACGACAAAGTAGGAATGAGATATATTATTTCTGGTTGTTGACTTTTTCAGCTTTGCCAAAAAAGCCCCAAAACAACAGGTGATTTAAACAGCATTTCATGGTTTTCTCCAGTATAATAGAGCAAATTTCAGCCTGTTTCCAGGGAAATAAACTAGTATCCACAATTTTGCTTGTAAATGTATTAGCTCAGTTAAAAGTTCTCAATATCTCTTAAATCATAATATAGATCTGGTGGAATAATCATAACTTCATAAAATTTAGCTTCCTTTTTGTGTGCAGAAAAACTTTCAGTAATGGACTCGAAAAAAGGTCATATAGCTTCATACTAATGTAAATTTAATAAACCAAGTTGCATTAAAATGCTGTGAAACACTAAAAAAGGTTCACCTTGGAAAACACCATCATACTGAGCAAAACATGGCATACTTCAATTGTAGACACTCCAGTAATTATATCAAATCTACAACCATGATTAATAAAATTTTAATAAAAAAGGAATAGAAGAATAACACAGTAGTAAGACAGTTCACAAGAAGCAACATTTCTGCATGCATATTAAGCATTAAAAAGAGCAGTTTGCATGTCTAGTAAATTCCCATGTGACTGCAACCATCAGTTGCAGATCTGATAATGTCCCATTAACACCACTATGACCACTTTTACAATATCAGAAACAGAATAGCCCAATATATACCCATTATTCTTTCTACCACTAACTGGTGTCCTTGACAGAAAAAACTACCCAGAACATTATAGGCTTCAATAGTAATTTTACATAACCAGAACATACCGATATCATGGTTTTGACTTGCTCCTTGGAGGGTGGATCAAAATGAGGCCCAGGCAAACGCTTGTTGATATCACTACATCAATAATATTAGTTAACTCTTAAGATTATGATGTCAACAAGACAAGAATGACATTACGGACGGACTCACAAGTTTTTTTAGAATTCAAATAAACCTAAGGCATAAATAGGTAAAAATTCTTACTTGTACACAAGTAGCACGGCAATGTATAGATCTTCAAATGTCAAATTAACTCTTTCTGTTTCATTCTTGAAACGATCAAAAACCTTGTCTGTTATCTTTCGAATTTGTCTTTGTTTCCATTCCTTGCCTGTTCAAGGTGATAACATTATCAAAGATGAATGAGGGAACTGTGTCTCAGCAACAACATGAAATATTCAGGTTTGTAGCATTAAAGAATGAGCCCATGACTGAAACGAGATTCACAAAGTAGTGACATAACTACCGGCTACAGCAGAATACACAAAAGTTTTAACTTCAAGGTGCAAAGCAAAGAAGCCCACAAATACCTATGGAACTATTCAATAGCTAGGTTCATTGGTCTGAATTAACCTTATAGGAAATTTGGTCCATTTGTCAGAATGAAATAACATAAAACAACCCAAATTAAATCAAAGAGATATAACAACATGAGAAACTTGACACGGTAACACTAACCTGCAAAGAAAAGAAACTAAGAAGTCCAATATATTTTCCATATCATCAATCACCCAAAACAAACACTAAATAGGATAACCTAAGAATAAATAGCTTCTCAACCCACAAATATGATGTACTGGAAAAGTCTTTCATCGTCTTTTGCATCCATCTCAAATGAGAATGGTCATCTCCTAGGAACCACATGATCGATATGATCAGTGGCTCAGCGCATCAACTCCATACTCCACAAATTTGCACTGATCTGGGGTTTCTTTATTCATTTTTCCTAGTTGATATATGGTGTTTCCACAAAAATGCAACAGTTTCTACTTTGACGACTTTTTTTTTTTTCAGCATATTCCAAAATCTACTCTGAATGAGTCGTTGCTTTTATTGCTTAGTTCATGTAAACAAAGAGTATGATTAAAGGCATTCATAGTACTTTATTGAATCAGCTGGTCAAGTCAGTGTACAATCGCCCAATTGGGTATTATGCTAGCTAAATGAACTATTTTGCTGTCTAAAAAAGGGACTTACTACATTAAATCTCCCTTTAATTTTCACCGTCATCAAGGCATACAAAAGAACAAACAAATGTTTAGTATCCAACTACGTGCAAGCATTGAACAGCTGATGACAGTTCCAAAGATAAATATATAACTCCAATGAATCTCCTAAATAAAAGAAAAAGGCACTTCAAATTCTTCAAAAGAACTATATAGATTTTAACTAGAGGTCGGACCTGAAGTGATGGCAAATGCTCATCCGCCCAATAAATATGTTGTAGGTTCATGTGTAGGATTTGACCTCTCCAAAAATGGGGATAATATCTTAACATTACCTCTCACAGACCCCATTGTAGGCAGAAGCCTTTTGCAATGTACACGACTTTTTTCTGAATATAAAGAATATAACCCACAAGGCATCAATCATATGAAGCAAAGGGCATATGGATTGATGGGGAGCACAAGAGGTCAGTTTGGCCAAAGAAATGGCATTGGAAAACAATGAAGGAAGAGTAGAAGGGACATCCTAGAAAATGGAACTTGCTTTGTTTGGTTGGTGAAGTAAAGAGAGAAGCAAGGAAAGGTGGATTGCATTTTATTATAACAACACCCTCATGCAAAAAAGGAAGCGTAACAAGATATTAAAAAGGTATAAAAGTGGTCCATTCCTTTCTCCCCTTTCCTTCCGCTGGCTCATAGGGAAGATGCATCCCTCATCTGTTCTTCCCCTTTCCTCCTAGCAAACAAAGAAAATTTAACGCATCCCTCTCCTTTTGCTCTCCTTCCACATCCATAAAAGAAGCAAGTTATTAGGATGGGAGAAAATCATTGATGTTCTTAGAAAATCCATAGTTCACAAGTGAAATGTTGGATGCATTTTACACGGATGGCTGATTATTTTGCAAAACTAAACACCAACAGCAAGACAGTTGCAATGTTCTTAGGTGTTTCAATAAACATGAAGGTGACAAAATTTTCTGCTAATTTCTGCCAATTATGGATGGCCAATTTAAGAAGATTTTCTGTGACTGGCCTGCAAGGTTCTTTTACTTGAAGCAAATTTCAAAAAACATGCATTTGGCTACAGCTGTTTAGGAACTACATGAAGGTGCACTTTGAATCTTATCATTTACGCGAATTTGATTTCAAAAAGGTGAAAAACTTTTCAAAACTAAGACAAATAAGCTCTAATAGGTTCATTCAAGTTGGGTAAAACTGGGTAAGGTTGAAGTTTATTCACCTGACTAATGTTACCCTTTTAAATATTTATTAATCCTTCTTGTAAGGGCACAAGGTCTGTAGCCAGGACCATCAAACCACAAAAGATGACCCAATATTATATAACACATTTAACAAAGAAACACAGCTACACAACTGATGAACCTTTAGAAAACACACACACACACACACACTTTCGAACCATCAGAGTCTTATGAAATAGAAAGAATGACCAAATTCAACAACACAATCAAATGAAAAAAAAAAAAAGTGCTCTCAATCACAATATAAAAAAAATAAAATCTGATTATACTATTTTTTATACGGTTTTCGTTCACACAATCAAATGAGAAGTTTGACTTTATGTATATATGCCATAAAAATTTGTATTTTGGATTGAACTGTTAAACATATACTTGACTTTCATAGAGTGAACAATCTCGGTAAACCCATCATCATAACATCAGAAATCATGGTTTCAATACATTTCAGTGCCGATTATGTTCGAAAAAGTTGAGATAACCGGAAATACAAACTGGGTTTTACATGTTTAGAGAGAGAGAGAGAGATTGGGACTGAAGTGGAGATTTATAGTACCTTGGAATTTTTCTAGAACTTGTCCCATGGCTTTGAAGTACTGATTGATTCAACGATTTCGTAGCTCTGAGATGGAAATACAGTCGAACGCGTGCTTAGGAATCCACTTCAAGTGAGGCTCTCGAGGTGGTTGTCTATGGCCGAATTTTCTTATAAGTGATTCCAGCCGGTTAGGGTGCTCATTTGTTGTCAGTGTCGTGTCTTGTTATTTTTTTAATGAGAATTACACTGAGACTCTTTGAACCTTGTCTTCCTAACACTTTCTTTGTTAATTTATATTTAGATTCTCGAAAGTTTGTAAATGTGATACTTAAACTCTTTAAAATTTTAAAATATTATATTTACACAAAAAATATTTTAATAAAAAATAAAATATTAAATATTTTAAATTTTACAATCAAAATTTATGTTATATTATGACATTTATTCAAATAAGATTAAAATTAAAAATCTATTTTTTTTAAAAAAAAAATTATAATTATACTATCTATTATAATTTAATAAACAACCAAAATTAAACTATCAAATTATTCTAATTAAAGCTAAAATATATTGTGTTGATTAAAGTTTGATATCTTATTTGATGATTTAGTTTTATTCCAATAGACAGTATAATTGTATACTAATTATAATTTGTTAAGAAAAATTAAATTTTTATTTTTGATTTTATTTCAATAAATGACATTATAGAACATGAATTTTAGTTGTAAAATCCATGTTCTACTATGAATGACTTAGATCATTTGTTTTATTTTTTTAGTTTTATTATAATAGATAGTATAATTGTATATTAATTATAAATTTTTTTTTAAAAAAAATGACTTTTTATTTTTTATTTTATTTCAATAAATGATACAATGGAACATCAACTTTTGTTTTAAAATTTAAAATAATTGATATTTTATATTTGATTAGAATATTTTTGATCTAAGTATAATATTTTAAATTTAAGAGTTCTAAATATTATACGCCTACAAATTTTAGAGAGTCTCAATATAATTTACTAACGAATATGCTATCAGACTACTGGAATATAAGTGTTAGACAACCGGAGTATAAGTGTTGTACGTGTACGAGCTTTAGAGAGTTTATGTGTAATATTTCAAATATCAAGAGATCTGAGTGATTAAGTGACAAATTTTAGGAGTTTATGTGTAATTTTTCCTATTTTTTGTCAATATTATTTTTAGTTTATGTCTCATACCAATATTTATATTAAGAGTAAATTATATATAATCTTTAAATTATAATTTTTGTGTTAATTAAGTTTTTAAAATTTTTTTTGTGTTAATTGAGTATGACCTCTTTTTGTGTCACGAAGTCATGTGAATGACACATTTTAACAGAGAAAGACATAAGAGTTTAATTGATAAAATTAGAGAGTTTAATTAAAAAAAAAAATTCAAGGATTTTATTGATATAAGGCCCATGAGAATAATTTACTTTAACTATTTGTGTCACGTGAATAACACAAGCTGTCAATCTAATGCAGGCAGACAGAATGACTTAATTGACACAATTAAAAAAATTTAGGGCTCGATTGACCAAAAAAAATTTTAGGAACTTAATTAATACAAGGATCATAGTTTGAGAGTCATATGTCTAATTTACTCTTATTACGCCAAAATAAAAAAAAAATTTATGAGGTATCAATCCTTTCTACTATCCCTGGGCTTTTTAATACTAATTTTTGGTCAAAATATCATAGTGATTAGTTTTATACACTTAAAATGCGTGTTTGATAACGTTTTTTTATTATTTTTTCTATGATAAAAATTACAAACATAAAATATGTTTTATAATTATTTATATTTAAAAAATTATGAAAATAAAAATAAAAGCATGTTTGATATTATAATAAAAAATAAGTTGCTCCGTAAAAGACAATTGAGAATGCATAACCCAACCACTATCTCACACCCCTGCAAAACACACAACCCAACCACCGAAAGCTCACCACTAATGCTCTTGAAAACCCATCATCCAACCATCGAAAAAAAAAATCAAATTGAGGTGCAAGAGAGAGAAAGAGAGGGGTAAGAGATAGAGTCGAAAAAGACAAAGGTGAGAGATAAAAAAAAGGGGCCGAGAGAGTGGAAGAGACGGGAAAGAGGGGAGCGAAAAGGAAGGAGTTTTTATATTCAAATAAGAAAACTCAATTTTTTTTTTTGTTTAGGAGGATCGAAATCAAAATATCATTAATTCAAATTATGATGCTTGTCTATTTTTTTTTCGGGCATTATGAAAACACTTTTTTTGTATTTTAATTTTTTGGCCTTGATTTTAAAACAAAGTTGCTAAAAAAAATAATAAAACATCACAAATACATTTTTATTTTATTTTTGACAAAAAAAAAAAGAAAACAGAAACATGTTACCAAATACAACCTTAATCTCTAAAAACATTGCATCAGTGAACCAGTCATTGTAAGTTTTTATATGGAAACAACCCACCGTCATAGTTAGAAGGAATAGTGCACGTATGTTCTCGATCGTGTTCCAAGTCAATCTTAATCCAGTTTGTTCCTGTCTTATGGCTATATATAATATGAATATATATATTTCTTGGATCTGCTGCACATTGAATTTAGAGATCAACTGCACAAATCAGCTTTTTGATTGTGTCATTTTGCTAAAAAATTTACCAGTCAAAGCAACCCCACAAACTGTTTGGTAAAATTCCTGAGTGACATTGCTTATGTGAAATAACTGAACACTTCCCAGTTGGGTTCTTGTATCCTGGCCTCATAGATATGATAAATCTTGGGTATGCTTTATTTTGTGATCCAATCTTTAGTTTTATAATTGCTATTACTAAGCAATTTAACCCATGAAGAGCATAGGCATTATTTGGTTGGCATTTTGGTGGTAATTTTATCACTGTTGGAATCACAATGTGCTTGGTTCTCTGCTCAGGAAGGCAAGCAGGCCACTTTCCAATTGCTTCCGAAACAGTACCATGGCTTAGTTCTGACATAAGCCAATTGAGCTTAAAACTGTCATTTTTCATTGTGGCCATGTGTTTCTAGTGTTTGCGTAAGTCCTAATTGAGATTTTCTCTTTTGTATTTGTGTGCAATGAGTTTAGATTCTAATGCTAGCTTTATTAAACAATGTATTTTAGACGGAAACATATACTCTTTGTGATTGAATTGAAGAAGTGGTGGGAAATGGGTAAAGGCTTGATATGGGCAACAGCGGAGGATTTGGCAAGAAACAGAGGACAGGTTCTGTCTCTTTATCGACAAATTTTGCGTAGCCTCAACTCACCTGGTTTGCCATTGAATTTAGCGGCAAGGCTGGCTAAGAAAGCGGAAGTTCGTGCCATTTTTATGCTGGGTGCTGAGGAGCATTCTCTCCGCAACATTGAAGATCTTGTTGATGCTGCTGAGTACTCTCTTTGCCTCTTAAGAAATGGCGAAATCCCAAAATACATACAATAAATTACTGATGAATCTCAGTTTCTTTTTTCTTGTGCTAGTTTAAGTTGTGATTGCATATATCTCCATGAAAGAGGTTGTGAACTAGCTTCTCAAATGCATAATGCTACATCTGGCGATGTAATTACACGAACATTTTCACATTCTTAATACTGAAACTCGAGTATGATGCTCGTTCCATAAGATTTTATTGTAATCTTAGCAGTCACACTCTGCCTCAGAAAAACTGAAATCACTATGTTCCTCAATACTTCCAAAACCTTCCCACACATTTGAGTTTTTGTTTCCCAGGTCCCATGTACACATGATTTTCTTGTTAAACAAAGACAATAAGAAAATAGGGAAACACACATAAAGCTTGCCTCCTAGAAAGGGTCAAGTTTGATGCCTATGAAATTGACATTTTTGAATTTATAAATACTTCTCCAAAAGCCACAACAATCCAAGAAACGTGTTAATTTGCAATCCACAGTACCTTTTTTTTTTGCTAGTACAATCCACAGTACCTTGGAAACTAGTTATCCAATCTTTTCAGGAACTGTATTAGAATAGATTAATTTGCACGTATTGTTAATATCATGATCTGTTTTGCACAAACCATACTTATGTATCTGTCTGAGACCACACGGGTCTCTCTCTCTCTCTCTCTCTCACACACACACACACACACACACACAAAGACTATAGATACAATTTTCGTGCCTTTTGTCAAACCCAACGTATGAAGTTTCTTGCTAATTGCTACAACTAAATGCGAAGGATGGATAATCTGTTTGTCCAAACTAATTATAAGGCCATGAAAGTCGGGGGAAAACCGGACCACAAAGGTCTCAGGGGCCAGGGCATCTTGGAATTGTGGCAAGGCCACACATGCATTGTTATTATTATATTTCCCAGCCTTTACTAGTTTTGGTACTCCTCAATAACTGTCTCTGTTGCCTCTATGTATAAGAAGTAACAGGTTTGATCCCAGCATGTAAAGTGCAAAAATTTACCAGTTATCTGAGATATCTAGACAAACATAGATTTGGGACAAACTGCATAATCAAATTTCAGAAAATTTGTACCGAAGAGTTCGATTGTAGTTTGGAAATTCCTGCCAAATATATAGTATAATTCATGAGTTCAGAAAAATCAGCTAACTTAGCAGCTTTTCTTCTCTTATAGCTGAAAATCTCTCCTCAGGATCATCTGATAGACCTACCAATCACTCTAGTTAGCTTCCTATGATACACCACTTATAAGATTACAATGGTAGTTTCCTGTAAATAAGGAAATGAACTGATTGTTGCAGTATCTCTTGCTTACCTCCACCAGGTATGACACATATTTCTGTGTGCGTAATTAGCACTACGTTAAGAATAACCACAATATTAGCCTGTAAGTTTCCTCTACCAGCCCGATTAAGAAAGACAGCATAATCGACAGACAATATATACAAAGGAAGCTCAATATATATATACACATGTATATGTATAAAATGATCTAAAGAAGCTCAAAGTATGCCAGTAGCAGCTTTAGAAATAAACATATCCATTCATGGTCATATACATTACTGGCAGCAGGCCTGCAAGTACTCTTGTATGCTCA